TTTTAGTAGACATTCTCTGTATTAAATTTTTTAGTTATATTTATTTTGTATAATTTCTTATCCATTATAGAATTTTATAGTTTTTATTATTTTATTTTTAATAAAAAACTATTATATTTATTTTTATTTCTTCAAGTATTAATTTATTTTGTTTTATTATTATTTTTTTTTTAACTCAATTATTTATAGTTATATTTCTTATTTGTATATTCTTTATATATATTTCCAACTTTATATTATTATCTTTATAATTTTTTACTTTGATTATTTATTTTTATTTTTGTTATAATTTACTTTATTTATTTATTTTAACAATATTTTTATATTTATTTTTTTATTATTTATTGTTTTTATATTTTTGAAAACTTCTTACTTTTTTAATATTTTGTATATTTTTTATAATTTTGTTATTATTATTATTTACTGTTATAATTTCTATATTATTATTATATTAGAGCATTACTTGAATTTCTTAGTGAACTTTTCTTGTATAAAGGAACTTTGGTTTTTTCTGTTTTCAAATATAATAATAATAGCAATAATGTATTTTTATAAAAATTTAATAATATTGACGTACAAAAAAAGTCTAAAAGCATAGAAAGTTACAATAATTAGAAAAGGTATTGTGCAGAAAAATTTTTATTCAAGAAAAATAAAAATTTTAATAATTTTTACATATATTAAAATTATAATGTTGAATAATAGGCAGAATAAAAAAGTAAACAAGAAACTTTCCTATTATTTTAAAAATAGTATGAAAATGTTTATTTTTAATAAAATATATAATAATAAATATATATATATTGGAGTTTTTTTAATAATAGTGATAAACTGATATAATAATATATCAACTTTTATATTATTCTAGAAAAAATATAAAAAACAAGTTTACTTTTAACAAATTATATAATTTTATTGAAACTTTATTATATTAATTATTTTTAACACTGAAATTAATAATATTAAAATTTACTTTTTTTAAAAAAAATATATAAAAAAAAGTTTACTTTTAACTAAACTTTATTATAATTTATACTAAAAATTTAATATAATAAAAAATATTTTTATTACTGAAATAAATAATATTATAATTCACTATTTTTTAGAATGCTCCTTACCACCAAATGAAAGAAAGGTAAAGAGCATAACAGATTTAGAATAGCCCAATAAGAAATTATATTTAAAATGAGTTATAAAGAGGGTATGCCACTGGTAGAGATACCCATAAAGTGCACGCTTATATCTAAAACGGATTTATAATTTAAACTATAATAATGTTGTTTTTCTTTCAAATAATAATAATTATTATTTATTATATTTAAAAGTTCTCAAAACAGTACAAGTATAATATTTTATAATAATAATTATGAAATGGTACATATAACGACATGATAACGTTACCACGGGGCTTCAGTCCTTTTGTGTTGGTGCAAGCTATTTGCTTTCTCCTTCACTGTCGCGTGAGAGACGCTATAGAAAATTTTACAGGCTAAGTAGAAATAAAATTCTAAAGAGATATTACTTTCTATAATAATTTGTAGTATGAAAAAAGATTAATTACTAAAATACGTTATATCCAAGTTTTTTTTCTAAACAATATTAATAAAGTTTACTTTGAACAAAACTTTATAATAATTATTATACAACTTTAATGCAGTTATAAATATTATAATTGAAATAGATAATATTAAAATTTTTTTCTTTTAAAAATAAAAAAAAAAATTTTCTTTTAACAAAACTTTATAAAGATATATAATGAAATTCCAATAAATTTTTTTTTTTTTTACTGAAATAAGTAGTATTAAAATTTATAAAAAAGCTTGATAACTAGTTTACTTTTAACAAAACTTTATAATACTTTGTAAAACTTAAATATTAAAAAATATTTATTTTTAAAATTATTAATATAAAAATTTACTATTTTTAAAAAATATTTATTACTAGTCTAAATATTATAATAATTTTTATAAATTGAGAAATTATAAACAAAAAACTTAAAAATATAAAAACTAATAAAATAAATTTTATTATAAATAAAATTAAAAATTATAATGAAAATTAAAATGACCAACAAAATTTATAATGAAACAAAAAAGAATGTTTTACTTTATAGAAAACTTTAATGGTTGTTAAAATATATATTTATATAATAAATAATATTTTTATAATAAAAAATAGTCATATTCTTATTACAATAAAAATAAAAATATTTTTTTTATTTTTATATATTTTTAAAAAAAATAATGTTAAAGAAAAATAAAAGTTCATTAAAACTTTTAATAATTAATATATTTCTTAATGTATCAAAAATATAATAAAAAGTTATAGATAAGAAGTTTATACACCCTATATATACCGCTAAATAGCAATAAATAATAAATATAATAAACTTTGAGAAATCTTTATAATACTTTTAAAATAGTAAAATAAAATGGAAAGGTATAAAATAATATTCAATAGAACTTAAAAATAAATATAAATTTAAAAAGTTTATATTTATATACTTTGAAGCAAAAATAAAAATCAAATAATAAATAGTAATATATATATTCATTATTTTTTTTGCTTGTTATTTGCAGGTTTACCATTTTGCTCAGCTCACCCTTAAAAGTGTCGAGCGGCTCTTCAAGCAAAGCACTGTCGTATCTACTTTTTTCCTTTCTAGTTTCTCTAATAATACTTGATCAAAAAGCCTCTGCGTTTGGCTGGGCTTCAATTGTTAACGAGCATTGTAATTGGCTGTCGTGGAAAAGCGCCTTTTTTTCTATTGAAAGATATCTATAAACTTGCAAAAGTGAGTGTATTGGATAAAAAGAGCGCTATAAAAGTTGCTGCTGCGAAGGTTTATAGTTATTATGACGTATTATTATTAATTATATTTATAAGTAAGAAATATAATATTTTGTATACTCAAATATTATATAATAACGAAAGAGTTTTTATATATATGTATTTAGTGCATACACGCGCTTGTAGAGCATAAAGCACTTTCTGAAAGCGCAGCAGAACTTCTTTTTACTCAGCTGCTTAGAACTTTTGGAGCCTGCAATGATGAAGTTTTTTTTTCTTTCGTTATTCTTTAAAAAAATTGTAAACGCGCTATAATAATTATAAATACAAATCTACAGGCGAAAAGGGTGTTGGCTCGTCTCTGTGGAGCACTGCTCATTTTATTTACGGTTAAAAATGATCCTGATAAGCCCGTTGAGATGTTGAAGCCTTTGTCGAATGCTCTAATAAAGTTTGGGTGGTTCATAATGATAATAGTAATAATAACGACGATAATAATAATAACTGATAATACTAATAAAGAGGCGACAAGCATGCTATTTTTATTTCGTCCAATCGTGTGGAAGATTTCACCAAAGGCATCCTTTTATGTTATTTGGAGACAATTTACCTCCTGGGTACGATTTCGGGCGCTAATTTTTTATTTATTAAGTGCACGTGGTAAACAAGTTTTCGTTTCTATTTTTTTATTAATATTTTTAATAAAAAAACGTGTCGGGGTTTTAAGGAAATTTGCTAATTGCTATAAAAGTACCTTTTCCTTAGTAAAATTAATTTTTTAAGACGAAGTATTATTTTGGTATTTTTTACTTAAAAACCTTAAAAAAGTTCTAAATAATTTATTTATACCGAAATAATTAATGTTATCCTTTTTAGGGCCCTTTTGGGTGGAAGGGCATATGGAAGCCCTTATTGGTCACTTTTTCGCTCTTCTCTCGCCCATGCGGCTAACATCTAATACAAAAGAAGCCTCAAGGCGTTGCTTGTCTGTAGTTTTTTTGTTAAATGAGGTTTATTTGCTTTTATATCTTTATTTATTATAATATTATTATTATTGTTTCACAGATTTTCATTAAATTTCTTGATGAAAGCGGCTTTATTCAGGCTACTCAAGTTTTGCCTTTTTGTATATTTTTATTTAATATTTTTCACTGCAATTTTTCCAGATGCTCATTAAAATTATTGATAATTGCTCAACACTTACAGAGGGGCTGACGCAGTACAGTACCTTTGTTGCCTTGATTTTGGTAGCTTAAGTTGTTAATTGTCGAATGTTACAGTTTTCTTTGTTCGTGTTTTGCTTCTAATTGTTTTTTTACTGAATTCATTTATTATTAATTAAAAAGTATTTCTTTTTAAAAACTTTTCCAACAATATTAAAAAAGTTTTTTTGTATCTTTTTTATTATAAAACTATGATTAGTATGATTGGAGGATTATTATTTTCTCAAACTTAAGCTTGCTGGACACGTTTCTCGGTTCGGTGCAGGTTTAAATAAGCTGTTTGACTCGATTGTAGGAGCCGTCTTCAACCAATTACGTCACCCAGCGCTGTCAGTCCGAATGGCTGCTGCCATGTGCATGAGGTTTTTTCATTTTTATAATAACTTTTGGCAGGCAGCGTGGGCTTTGCTTTTTCATGTTTTTTATTGCTGTCAAAGTCCTGTTATTTAATGGGATTAAGGAGCTTAAATTTTTAATTAATATTTTTTTGGCGCTAAAAGGGAAAATGTAATGGCGCTCCCTGAAAGACACGTGGCTATAATTAACCAATGCTTGAATATGTTGTACTCCAACAGAGATCAGCCCAATCTCGTGCAAGGTAACAGTTAATCTATGGAAGAGTGAGATTTAATTATCAAATATCATTGGCGCAGGCTATTCTTTTGCAGTAGCCTCAATGATCAGCTCGCTAACGACCAATAAGCTTGGCGTTTCTCATGGACTTTTATGCTCTCTTTTTACTGTAACGGAAGATTTTTTTCAGTCTAAAGCAGATGGTTTTTTGCACCTGTTTATCACTCATTTTATATTGGTTGTTGAGTGACTATAGTGGCCTACTATTAGTGGAAGTAAAAGAGTCCTTTTGCATTTTCAGCCTTTTTACTGACTATTTCACAGTCATTTATTTTACTGAATACACAAACTATTTAATAATTTGTATATTATTTATTTTCCGCACTTATTAATATTACTATTGGCGCCCAGGTGCTATTATGTGCAGCAATATTACAGGCTCGTGGGCCATAATTACTGCTTTGTTGAGTAAGGTAGTCCTGCTCATTAATTTTTTATAGTGTATTGCTCCGTATGAATTATTTCATTTTAATAATAATGAAAATTACTATCTGCAGGGACCAATATTTGTTAAGTACTACCTCGCTAAGTTTATCGCCTTCCTTAAAATTACTGTTACTTTTTTTTATATCTAAAAAAATACTGCTCTTTCATTAATTTTATTGTAATTTTTATTAGAGAGAAAAAGTGGGGCACACAAACCGCTCTGATTCGTTGCTATTCTTAAGCTCTTCTTTATCTGCACTTTATAGTTTTGTATTATACTGCTCCAAACTATTGGACGATCAGGTTTTTTAGTGATATTCGGTTATTCATATTGGCTAGCTTAAATGTTAGTCTGTTTTCATTGGCAGTTATTATTATGATAAAATATATACTTTTCTCCTGGTAACAAAACTGATTCATATTTTTTTGTGAAAGGTTTTCTATTATAAGTAGCTTTTATATTGGGTTTACTGCCACATTCATAAGTTTTTAGCTGCTTTCCATGAGCACATGGGCTTCTGTTTCACTATTGTATTGAGCATTTCTGCAAGTGCCAATAATTCTTCTGTAGAAGTTACCATTAAACTAATCAAAGTTTGTTATTTATTCTTATGAATGTTTTCATTATTATTACTTCTATCATAAATTTATCATAATTATAATACTATTATAGACATTTTCATTATTATTACTACTATTATTATAAATATTTAATGGTTATTATTACTATTATGAGTATTATTATTATTATAAACATTTTCATTATATAATCACTATTATTGTCATAATTTTTTTTATAATTATTATTATTATAATTTTTATTAATATTTTTATTACTATTTTTATTATTATGAATATTTTCATAATTATTACCCCTATAACTATTATTATTATAATATTTTCATTATTTTTATTACTATTTGTATTATTATTATGAAAACTTTTATTATGATTGTTACTACTCTTATTATAATAAATATTTTTATTATTTCTTTTATTAGTAATATCAATAATTTCATTATAATTCTGTACTAGAAAAAAATTTACACTATTTGCTCTTTACTGCTCTCTAAAGGCTTTAAGAATACATACCAAAAACTTCTAAAATACTGCGTTTTCGGTATCAAAATTGTCCATTTTTCACTTTTTTTATTTTTTTTCTTTATTTTTTTTATAGACATAACAGCCGCCTATAAGAATCACACAACTTTACTTTCTGAACTTTGCGACTTTTATCACGACTGTTTAGTAATAGATAACACTTTACAAGATTTCCCGCTTTTCCTGGTTGGCACTTTTTTTTTTTATTGTCATTTCACACATTACTTAGTTCATTGGTTCATTAAATTATATTAGTTCACTCTTTTTTTAACAATATCTGTTTAGAAGTTTTTTTTACTGGTCAACAAATTTTATTAGTTCCGCGAGCATAAAAAGTAATATTCTTTTTATTTGAACCACCGTTGCTAAATTTGTGGGGACATGTTATTGGTTATATTAAAAAATTTTTTACTTTTGGCGCGAATTTTAAAGTTTGTTGGGGTTTCTATGTTTATTTATAATTTCTTAGCGCTTCTTTTTTTGTGACTATTGTTTGGACGATCACAGGCTCTGGGTAATAACTGTATAGAAAACCTTGAAGAGGACTCTTTTCAGATAATTCCATTGACTGAGCAGAGTGCAGCCGCCTCTGAAGATGCCGTTGTGGTTTTTTTTTGTTTATTCTTTTTCTTTTGGTTATAAATTCGTAATTAGTGGCTGACCTCAAATGGTAGCAAAGTAGCAGTTTTAGACGCTGCTATTTATTTATTTGGTAAGTTTATGATTCTACCAATGGGTTTACAGCACGTTTCTCGCTTACGTTATTTTTCTTGAACTTGTTAGGCGCGGTATTTCCATTCTGCCAAAGTAAATATCAACTTCAGTTGATTGATTATTTAGTGAATCATTTTTATGAAAAGAAAAAGTATTTTTATTAAATTATTATTGTTATAATTAAATGCCTTTTTAAAAATGTCCGAAACAGTATAATTATTAAATTTTAGCATGTGCTTCATTAAAATGTGAACGTAGAATGGTGTAATTTTTATTACAATCAATTTCTAGGACTCTTTCATATTTTTAATGTAAATTTTTTAAGGGCAACTGCTAACGTTCAATTAAACATTCTTGTGGCCATTTTGGCGGTTTTTCGTCAGCTGTTGTCCAATAAAGTGGCTTTTAACATCACAACGTTGAAGCGCCTTCTCCCTTGCTTTCGTGTATTTTGGCGGATTTTCTTGATTTTGTACCAAATAGCGCCTTTTGTAGACCACAAATTTGTTCCCATAATCACTATTTCTATAGATGGTTTAATTTTATTGGTATAAGCCATTTCACAATTTTTAACGCCAAAAAAAAAATTTTTTATAGTACTTTAACAGTATTAATACCAACTTTGAATTGGACAGGAGGCGCTTTCAAGCACCAATCCAAAGCTTCGTATAGCAGCCTCCCAGTGCTATGGACACCTTGCCTTCCATTCCGTTCCCTCGGTATGATTTCAGAGGCCGGACGCTGCTATTAGTTAGTTACTCCGTTGATAAGTTTATTAGTGAGACTGTGGATTTCTTGGTGGCGCTACTAAGAACTGATCGAGATGCTGTGCATAGAACGGGCCTGGCCCTCTCATTGGCTACAGTTATAAAGCTGTGCCGCCGAACTGCCGAATGGACCCGAAAGCGGACTGTTGTGGTGATACTTCATCTACTAGAATATGTTTTATTATACTATGCAAGCTATCTATTGTTTGAAATGCAGCTAATTGTGATTATAATTGTTAATTAGTTCATACTTCGTGTTTTTATTATTGGACGATTTCCACGGCAGTGTTGAATTTGATAGGCTTTATTTTTATTTTCTCACTGCACTATAGAGCCTTCTTATCGCGTTAAGTAAAGATTTAGAAAAAACTGTGCAAGTATGGGCCCTTCATGGATTGTGGTACATGCTCGAAGGTGCAGTGCTCAACGGTTAATTTTTTCATTAAATATTTTTTAATTGGTTAAATTAAGAGTATTAAGCGTCCTTATTGGTTCTCTTTATTATTTGTAATTTTTGTTTATTCATTAAATTATTAATAATTTACGGACATGAAAATATTATAAAAAAGTTAAACTGGTTACAAAAAGTCACGTGGTTAGTTCCGCCCGTAAATAGTTGCTAGATCAATCAGTACTTTTTATATTTTTAAGAAAACTTGTAATGATTTAAAGGATACACTACAAAAGATGAATTCATGTTGAAGGAGTTATTTGAGCACCTATTCTTCAGTTTTTTATCTCCCGTTTATGAGAGGTGCATCTTTTCTAAGTTTTGGTTGGATACTTTCCTTTTTTTTTTTTAATGCACGACTGTTGGCTATTCAGTTGCACTTTTTATGTCGGAAGACTTTTACTGGCGCTGCTTCCCGTTATTGGTCCTGATTTACTCACCAATGAAATGACGAGGAAAAAATTCAAGTTTATTTATGAAACTCTAAGTGATGTTGGGTGCGTTGAGTTTACATTAATAGCCTTCCTCAATTTGTTAATAACGTTTTAATTTTTTTTTTAAAGTCATATATTATCTTAACTGTTATCTTTTTTTCTTAAAACAATTTATAATTTAATTTTTTTCTTTAATATATTTATTTTTAATGAAAATTTATATATACTTTTATTATGAAGTTTTTAAAAAAAAAATATATTCCAACTCTTTCTCTTGTACATAACAATTAATAACTAATGAAGCAGAATAAAAACATTTTATTGGTAAGTTGCTTTGCACTCTTCTTTTATACGCTATTTCGTTGACCCGTTAGTATATCCTTCTGATTATTTATCCTTTGATTGGCTGTTTTTATTATAAAATTCGGTAAATTAATCCTCCGCTTAATATATTACATAAAAACTAATTTTTTTTAAAGTAAATTATTTTTTCAATTTTTAAACATCGCTTTCCGGAGTTGATCAAGTTTATAAAAACTTTATATATTTACAAAATAAAAAATTTTATATCAAAAGTTAGTATAATTAATAACAATTATAAAACATAAATGAAAGTATCAAGAAAATTATATTACTAATTGTAGTAAATAAATGACAACTTAAAAAAAAAAGTAAGCGTTATACCAAATAAAATATAAAGGAACACTTTTTGAGTTTATAAAAAATAAAGCTCTGCAGCAACTGTAACTAATTATATAAATAACCTAAACATTATATCGTTTTTAAGGTTATAACTAATTCCAGAGTGCCTTTAAAAATCAGTTTATTGAAATAAGTTATAAAAAATATAAAAATAACTTTAACATACTTATTTGGGTTATAAATAATTTAAAAGTTTATTAAAATAATTTATAAAAAAATTTAACGTAAATTAAAGAAATAACTTAAAAGATTTTATTGTTAATTTATAAATAATTAAAAAGTTCATTAAAATAATTTATAAATCAAAATTGGATGTAATTCTTAAAACTGCTAATAACTTAAGTGTTGGGGAAAAAATCATTAAAAAAACTTCTAGATGACCCCCAATGTTGTTGGGCCTTGTAGCTTGCCAACCCTTTTAATCTATATAAATTCCGTCGTTTTGATTAGTCTTCTCGCTGTCGTTAAAAGTTATGTCAATGCAAAGAATTACTTATCTAAATCCTTAAGTACATTTGCGTGATTATTAACTTTTATTTTAATTTTTTTACGTGTATCCTAAAATTTTAAAAGGAAAACCTTGCAAAAAAAATAATGAGCTACAAATATTGCCCATTTTATAAATTTTTGTATATATTACATAAAGAATATAAAAGTTATAAAAAATTTCGAAGAAAAGATGTTTAATTTAATAAAACCCTTCATTATAAAAAATAACTTTTATTATTTTGTTTATACAGTTCAGTATTTTTATAAATTTAATGTATTAATAGACAACTATTATTCAATGTTTATACTGAAAACTGTAATTTTTATTATTATAATAATGCTGATAATAATAATAATGGCTTCAAGCTCTATTTATATCATAAAAATTTTTGTTTACTATTAAATAGTAGAAAAATTATTGACGTAATTCTAAATATGTTTTTAGAAATAGTTACAATTATTTATTCAGAGACTCAATAAATAATTATTTTTTGTTTTTACTTAATATTTTTTTTAAAATATAATAAATAAAAAATTTTATTATCTCTATTTATTATTATTATAGTAAATTTCTTATTTTTACTTTTTATTATTATAATATAATATTAAATTTTTTTTATAAATTTCAGGCTTTTTAATTTTAATTATTAAAATATTGAATATTTTTTATTAACTTTGATAAATATAAAATTTTATAATACTTTTTATATTCATTGTCTTCTTATAATTTTATTTTATACGAATTTACTATATTGTAATTACTATTATTTATATAATTATAGTTTATTATTATTTATAATTTGTATACAGTTTATTTATAATTACATTATTTTTATCATTATTAAAAAATTTTCTTTGTTATTCCTTATATATAATATACCTAAATATTTATACCGAATTTACTTTATTATATAATACCATATTATTATTTATATAAAATTTACTTTATTATTTTTTATTATTATTCTTTTATAAAAATATTATATACTATTATAAAGTTCGAAGGAGACTTGCAAACTCCTCGCTATTCAGTGCGCTCTTTCTATAACGGCTTTTGTAGGAGAGCATTCAGAACTTTTATATTATTCTTCTTTTCTTCGAAACTGCTTTAATGGGTCTTTTTTCATTATTATTACTATCGTTATTGTTATATCCTTATTTTTATTTTTATTATTAGCTCCAAAGAGTTGCGTATTGGAGCATTAAGTTTTTTGTATCATCTTCTTCAAAGCTTTCCTTCTTATATAATAAATGATGGTTTATTTATATTTTTTACTACTGTTACAATATTTCTTATTATTATTATAGAAAATTTTATGGAGTTGACTCTCGTAAAACTTATAAATAAAGAAAAGTTTGTTTCTGTAAAAGAAGTTGCAAAAAAATGTCTTCTGTAGGAAACTTTACAACTATTATTTTTATTATTATCATATTTATTACTACTTTTATTATCACAATAAATATTTTATATAAATACTAACAAACTTTTATCATGAAAGCAAAGTTTAAAGCAAGTAAGCATAAGTAGCTTTGTTTAAGTTTGTATATATATTTTTGTGTTTATAACTTTTTATGTTTAAAAAACTTTAAATATTTTTGTATTTATAAAATTTGCGAATTTTTAGAAAAAAAATAATAAACTTTTCTTTTGTTTTACTTATTTTTTTAGTTGTAAACCAATAAAAGGCTTTATTTTATTTTATTTTTATTTTTATAAGAACTATTATAAAAGAACTTTCCGTCACGGACATTACTCGTGGCGTTTCTTTCTGTGTCCTTAGCGGAGGCGCTTCATTAAATTTCGAGCACGTGGCTAGTGAACAGAAGAGTTGCAACGAAAGCAAGCAATCCAATGAAGATGAAGCATTTACTGAAGAGCTGGAAGGAATGGCTGTAAATAATTCTAAGAATAATACATTTTATAGTTTTCATTATAATAATGTCTATCATTAATATTAAAAAATTTGATAAATATTTTTTACAAATTTGACTTGGTAAAAATTTAGTGAATTTTTACTTTTAATGTATTTTAAATTGTATATAATGGTGTTATTCTTAGATAAAAAGTATGAAAGAGGCAATCACTGATAAGTCTCTTCAACCCAGAAGCTTTTTAAAAGTAAGTATTATCCTTTTTATATTTATTTTACATTTTATTAACAAATAAAAAGACTTTTACTATATTTTCAATGATCACAAATAAAAATTATTTACCTTTTTTTTATGACGTAATGCAGCCAACAGCAGTTATTACTTCTTAAAACTGTCGCCTTTAGGTTAGGGTTAGGGTTACGTCTGTCTAATGAACGCGCTCATTAAAAAAATAGAAACTTTATGGTAATACACGCCTCACAAAAGCATTAAGAATAATGAAATTTACTTAAGGGCTTTGGTGTTATAGAGAGTATAATATATTTATAGCATAAAACTAGCTTTTTGCAATAAATTTGATCATCTTTAACAGTTACTTGCATTCTAATATGTACAGTACCTTCCAAATAATGAAAGAAATGTTAAATTCTAGTGGTCAAAATTTTTTTAAAAGTAAAACTTATTAACCTTTTTTTTTATGAACTATTTTTCATAAGAAATGATGAGTCAATTACTTTTATCTTTTTAATGAAACAATAAGAAAATAAATATAATAATATAAATAAAAGTACTTTCATAATTAAGCCTTTATAAAATTTTTTATACAGTGAGTAATACTAAAATGTAAATATAAAAATAATAAATAACCTTTTTTCCAACTACTACATGATATATTGTATAAGCTCTTTAAGGAATTATATAAATAATATTAAAAAATAATTATTACTTTAAATATAAAAATATGTCCTTATAATTATAATACCTTTTAAATAAGTATATTCATTTTACTTACAATTATTATAAAAATAAATTTTAATGTTTATATATATATATATTATTATATGATAAAAATTATTAACTTATTAAACTATTTTTATATAAAATATATATAAAAGTTATTCACTATTGTTGTTATTTCTTAAGAATTTTTTTACTTATGTTTATGGATTATTATTATTATTACTTTTATATATTTCGTATTATTTAATTTTTATAAATCCCAACATTTCGAGTAAAAACAATTTTTATTGGCTAAAAATAAGCAATATGTAATTACTTGAATCTTTTTTTCTACCCAATAAACACTTTTGTGAACATAAAAGTAATATTTAGAAAAAATTCTTGAAATTTAATGAATTTATATGAACAATTATTTTTCACAAAATTTTAACTTTTTATTGAATTATATTATAATATACTTTTTAATAATTATATTTCTTCACGATGGCTTTACTGATCAGTAAAAATAAAATAAATTAGGTTCTGTCTTTAGAATGGATGCAGGTTTTAATGGAGAACTGTTATTCTTCAGTTGAGCGAGATCTTCATTTTGATTTGAAGAAAATAATAATTAGTGGTGCATCTAAAAATAGGTCTTTTTTTACCGCTTTTTTTACTTCATAACCTATTGGTCATAAAAATTTAACCTTCATATTAGTATTATTATCACCTTTTTTATATTTACTGATTATTACCGTATAAGTTATTTTTCGGCCCTCTTAAATACGAACACCAATGAAAAATAGCAATTAGTTGTATTATTTTTATTATAGCACAGTTCTCATTACAACTATTGGAAGTTACTATTTTTGGGTTTCACAACGATTAATGATTTCTTTTTCATAAATTCATTAATGCTATTATTTGTGAAAAGTAATTTTTAATTGGCTCGTTATTGATTACTTTCTTGAACCTGTATTTAACACTTACAATTGGTTATCCTTGCGCACATAGATAGACAAATAATATCTTTTTAATAGGGAAATATCTATTTCATTGATCAATTTGAACGTATATATATCATATATTCTTGAATATTCCATAATTACTGATTTCGTATTTCACTAAAATATTTCTACGCGCTGAAGGTTTTTAGTCTCCAAGCTTGATTCGCTGGTCAATACTGCTTTTGTTGGGGCTACGAGTACTCTAGATGAGCTGAAGTGACCAATAGTTATAATTTTATTGACAACCACATTTATGAGCATTACTATATTTAGAGTTGTTGGGCTTAAAACATTAACTAAAATTATTCACTATTTTAAAGGAAGTGAAGATCCCGAGGTTTGTGGGTTTACTAAATTTTTTTCTCCAAACTTTTTATTAACTTCATTATTATTATAAATAATTTTTATAAAAAAAATATGTACACAATTTTTTATGAACACAAATTTTTTTTTTATTTTTAGTTATAAAGTATATTTCCTAGTAAATAATGCAATTAGTTTAACTTTTAATAAAAAATACGTTATTACAGTTAATGCTATCAATAAAAATTGTTTACTTTTTAATACTTTTAATAATATATTTATAATAAAATGTTAAAAAAAAAATTTATATTTTTTTATATCGAATATTTTATTTGTATACAAATTAATGAAACTTTATTTGTATATCTTGTTCAAGTATTAAAAATACTTTTTATATTCATTATTATTTCGTGAATAAATTTAAGAAACTTAAAAATTCTTCATTATTTTTCTTTAAAGATTTTTTTCAATAATATTTTAAATTATTATACTGTACAAATTATTATTAATTCTTTTAAATTTTTTCTTTAGGGAGGGTTTTTGTTAGAGCAGTATCAGACACAAATGCGGACGTCCTTAATAGAAGCTTTTGTATTTCATAAATTATGAATTTTTTTACTACTTTTAAAAAAAAAATTTATTTTTTAAAGAAAAGTGTTCTTTTTTGCTTGTCTTATCATGACTCACTATTCATAATTATATATTTATCACATCTTTATATAATACAAACAAGCAACCTGCTGGCGCTACTTTTAAGTTTTTTATAAAATTTTCATTATTTTTTTTTCTTGTTATAAAATTGACTAATAATTTCTTATGTAGAAGGTAATGTATATATTAATATATTTTATTTTGCGGCTTTTAGTTGTTTTTGTAAAATTTCTATATTTATCAATTTTTTATTTTATTTCTTGTAATCTATCGGCTTCCAATTTCATTAAAAAAGTTTCATCCATGAAAATTCTTTTAAAGTTTTACCAGAATTGTAATTCTTGTTTATTGGTTATGGGCTTTTTTCCCCATATTATTGGTATATATTATTACTAATAAAGTGGTATGCGTCATTTTTACAATTCTCTTGACCATGATTGGATAATTTTATCACATTTAATCCTCCAATCATATTTGTAAGCGCTCCATTTATTTTTAAGCAATTCTTTTATGATATAAAGAAATTGAATTATTTAAACAGAAACATTTTTTATAAGTAATTTTTTTTTGGTTTTTCTCTATATTTGTATTGTTCGTAATATTTTGGAACAATTATTATTTTACTTTGCATTATTGATTTTAGATTTTGTTATTTTTTATATAGAAAATAAAAATTCTGGTAATAACGATAGTAGCAATAATATTAATGATAACAATAAAAAGTTTATTTATTTAATTATTTTTCTTGCAGGCAAATAAGACCAATCCGATTGTCCAGGCTTCTGCCTATATACTTAGCGCCACGTGGATCTGCTCAGGCGCATTTACCAATAAAGACGACTTGCAAAAGTTTTATTTCAAAAATTACTATTAAGCTGTTTAATCTTCTACTTTTTATTTCTCTTTTTATAATTTTTATATTCTTTTGAAAGTTTTTATTAATTGTTATAAAAAAAACTTTTTATTTTTAATCATTATTTCATTTTATTATGTAAACAACTTTTCAGAAAAATTTTTTTAATAGTAAATATAATAAAAATATTTAAATATTTTTTTAATATACTTTTGTATTATTTTTTTTAACATTTTCTTTATTTATACTGACCAGGAAGTGTCATTTTTTTTTGAAAATTGATTGGTTCAATATTCTCTAATATTTTTTTATTTAATATTTTTATAGGTTTCATTATTTTTAAAACTAAAGACTTTTTAATAAACTTTATTTATTAACTATTTTTATCTTTTTTGCTCAAAATACTTTTTAATAAAAAAAAAATTTACTTTCATTAAATAATATAAAATCTATAAAATTTGGCAAATTGTTTATTTTCACTAAAGTTTCTAAATTTTATTATTTATTTTTTTTATTATTTTAAAGAAATGGTTTATTTTTCGCATTATATAATATTTTCTGCAAATTCTATTTTTTTTGTTAACTGTACATTTCACGTGGTTTAGTTAACATTTTATTTCTTAAATTTTAATAAATTTTATAAATTTTTTTTTTTATAATTGTCATTATAATATTTATTTTTTTTAGCATCCAACAACTTTTAGCGGAACCATTAAATATTATAAATTCTGCTTTCACGAATTTTAGTGAAGTTACTATTTAATTATAATATTATAATTAATTTTGTAATGTTATATTTTCAAATATGAAGCTCTCATGCTTATTGGCCAAAACTTCCCTCTTAAAGTCGTGGGCTCTCATTCGATTGGCTTCTTTTCCGAAAGAGCACGCATCAGTGGCTCCTCGTGCAATATCTATGAAAATTGTGATGCCTTATTTGGAGGCTCTACAAACCGAGTGGCTGAACTTTTTAAGGTTATTTTAAAATATAAACAAATTCTTTTATTTTGTTGGGGGAGGAAAATGATTTAAAAATAGTGATTAAAAATTTATTCGAGCTTAGTATCTTTTAAAATAATTTTATTTTTATTATATTAAATTTTATTTGTTGACTACAATAATAAATTACTAAGAGAATATCTTCTTTTAACCCTTTCACGTGATTGGAAGAAATATTCCATTTTTTCCACCATCCAAAATTCACATGATGCAAATTTTCGTGAAATTTATGAGGTTTTTTTACTTTTTTATTCAAATATAAAGTTAATAAAAATTCATTATTTTATATAATTTCTTTGCCTTAAATTCTTTACCATTTTTTTGACCATTTTTTTCGAGCGTGAGTTTGTTTTGTTCAAGTAGTAATTGGTTTTAATTTAGGATCATTGGGCTTGTCTTTTAGAGGCGGCGTCTCTTAGTTTTATTCCAGACAAAAGTTATTATTATTATAAAATATATGCTTTCGGAATTTATTGTTATATTTTTATATGATTATTATTTTTTATTTTTTATATAATATCTTGAAGCTTTCCCCCAAACTGATAAGGAACATTTACCTTATAAAAGTTTTAACGAAGAACAACTTTTCCTCATATTTGCGCTATGCATTCGAGGTATTATTATTGTCATTATTATTATTATTACTCTTTACTTTGAATTTCTTACTCTATTTATGCAAATAAACAAAAGAGACGTATTTATCGTGGTCGATATTTTTTTTAGAAATTTACTTTATTTATCATGGAAACTGGATCATTAAATTTTAATTTATTGCGTCTAAAAAATATTAAAAAAAAATTTTTTCTTAAAGAAAGTGAAATATATTTATATTTAAATATTTACTTTATTATTTTTCCTTTTTCTTAATAAATTTATATATTTTCTGTAAAAAACGAAATGTTTTGTAAATCTATGAATTTTTAATGAAATACTTTTAAAGGATTGGCCCTTTCAAACGAAGAGGAAACAATTTTTTCCGTTTTAGGAGCTCTAAAAAATATTTTTTCCGCTGAAGTTTGAGACTTATTATTATTATTTATATTTCTTTTTACTTGTTATTTTAATTTATTAATATAATTGTATTATAGTTTTATATATATTAATATTTTATATATTTTATTATTATATTTATTAATATTTATATATAGAACATAATTTTGACGCCCTTATTAAGCACTTTTACGGACGAGTGTGATGTGGTTCTTGAAGTGGTGCATCTTATGAAACGCCTTTTTGCTTTAGAAGATGTTTGATACTTTTTATTATTATTATTATATTTATTTTTATTACTATTATTATTGTTATTATTATTATTATTATTATTATTATTATTATTATTATTATTATTATTATTATTATTATTATTATTATTAAAGATACACATTAAAATACCGGCGTTGGAGGCTCTCACAAAACTTTTAAACCATGAGCTTCTTTGCTCTAATTTTTTTCAACAAAAATTCATCTTCTCTAATTTTAGTGAAACAAAAGCTTCTCATCGTAAAAGTAAACTTTTATTCCATTAATTTATCAAATCATCTTTACTTTTTTGTAATAAATAAAAATAACAAAGTTTTTGCCGTGACGGAATTATACTTTTACGAGCTAATCACCCATCTTCCCGCCATATTTGATGGCGGGGTTTCTTATTGGAAAAAAGGTTTTTTTCATTAAATGCAATGAACAGGATGTTGTTGTTTATTTACTTATTTTATGACTTATTTAGAACATTTAATAACGCAAAGCGAACAAAAGTTTTTGGTTTTTTTGCTTGAATCGTTGACGCAGTTTTGCCAGAAATTTAATCTTAAAGAGGTTTCTTTACAGAAATGATAATGACAATAACTTTTTTAAAATACTAAAACGATTAAACTATTGTTATATACAAATTTAAAACTTTTTATACTTATATAACTTTTCATTATATTTTTTTTGTTAAAAAAGCTAACTGAGGTTGTATTTTTCGTTATAATCCGTTTGCTCCATTTTAACGAATCACCTTTGAGAGAAACTTCACTAAAAAACTTGAAGTTGCTGCTAAAATTTTTTAGCGAAAATGAACTTTTAGAGGTATATTTAAAAAATAAGATTACGAGTTAGTAGTAAAAATAATAATAAAAGGCCAATTCCTTTGTGAGTGGTGCTTTTAACGACGTGATTCAAACTTTAATGAACTATAAGTGGACACCGGCTTGTATGTTTATTGCCTTATATTAGTATTATTATTTTTATTTATTATTACGATGATACTTCTAAAAAAGTTAATGAATATCTACAAACGATGCTATTTTCCTTCGCTGCTTTTTGCTCTACTTTTCCTCCATATTTGCAAGGAAAAGAAGACACCATCGCCAAGTTAACGGAACATCTACTTCTCAGCGACTTTCATGGGGTATTGATAAAACTTTTAGTAATCATTATAACTTTAGAGCGACTTTATAATTCAAAACAGGCGCAAACGGGCGCAGTAAAAATGCTGAATTTGTTAATGAAGCATCAAAATCGCGGAAATTTTGATGCGTTCAATTTATTTTTTTTACTAAAGAAAGTTTTGCCCCGTGTACTGACTGCGTTTCACGTGGCCATTCAAGAAAATAGTGACCAATCAAGTTTAGCCATTGCGATAATGGATTTTTTGGTTGAACTCATTTCCTGCTTCCCGACAAGTAGTTTTAATTTAATTTTTAATTTTATACTTCTCACCTTATTAAAAATCTATAAGAAACTAAAATATTTTTATAAAATTTTGCTTAAATATATATATATATATATATGATTAAGAAAAGCTTAAAAAGTAGTTAAGCTTGGCATTTTCTGCTCCTTTAAAATAAAAAGTAAATTATGAAGTAAATTTTCAGATATGACCAGCAAAATTAATTTAATTAATAAAAGTAGAATGTAAACATTTTTATTATATAAAATTTTCTCTTTTTTTAAGAAGTTAAGACGGAATATAATAAGTTTAGACAGAATTTATTTAGCTCAAGTGCTTAAGAAATTTATAACAGACTATTGAGCACTATAAAAATAAAACTCTCTTATTTTAGACGTGACGACGCATTAACGTAAGTTTAGGCAGAATTTATATTTAGCTCAAATTTTTAAGAAATATATAACAATCATCTATTGAGTCATATGAAAATAAAGCTTTCTCGTAGAGTGAAGGCGAATTATAAGTTTAGATTGAATTTATGTAGCTCAAGTTGTTAAGAAATTTACAACTATCACCAGTTGGAACACAACAACTTTTTAATTTTTAGACTTTTCATATTTTGGAAAGTAGATATTTTTTATTTATTAATCTTTTAAAAATAAATTTTTTAAACGTTTTAGTTATCTTCATTTTAAATCCTATTTTTGTGTAAACTGATATTAATAATTATACAAAATATCCTAGTTTACCTCAGTTCCTTGTTAATTGAAATTTTTTTCGCTTTACTATAACTTTTTCTTTACTTTACAATTAAAAAAAAAGGAATATTTAAATATAAATGAAACATAAAAATCTATAAATTATAAATTAATAAAAATAAGTTGTTTATATATAAATGTATAATAAAATAAATAATAATACTTAAAATATTTTTACTATTAATATTTTATACTATAAATTTATCCTAGTTTACATTTTATATAAACTTTATTTTAATTTATTTATAAGTATTGATTTAAATAACATGCACACTTCTAAATGATTAATATAAACAACAGCTGATTTGATTGCAATTACCGTTTTTATGCACATACTGGCGCTTGAAAGGTTCTTAAAGTCTATAATAATTTATATTTTCGGAAAAATTTATCGTAAGGTTATTATTAGGGGGTGTTCAGATATTAAAAACCCTGCGATGATTCATCTCGATTATTTAGCTACTAATCATTTAAGTAATTTTGTTTCATAAGATTTGTATGTTTTTGGTACGATAATTTAATTTACAGAGGATTTCAAATCAGCGCTGATGCAGGTCTTTTGTGTACTTTTAAACGGCCTGTATATATTTTTATCAAAGTTGTTTTCAGCTCCCTTCTACCTTACAAAGTTGTTTTAAACTGAAATGCCAGCACTACTTTCAAGGCAAAACTAGTTATACTTCGCCTGATAAAAGTAACGTTGAGCACTCAAAACCGAAAATTCAGCTTAAAACTGACTTTAGCAACTTTTAATTACATTTACTAAACTGTATAATCAGCCTTGTTATCCTTTTTATTAAACTGATATATATAAAAATATACTACCAGATATTAACTTCTTTGTTCGTAAAAGTTAGCCTAAATGAATAAAAAATATCAAAATTTTTTTTTATTTATTACTAAGCTCAAGTTGATTCAACTAGCGAAACTTACGTGCCTTCTTTTATAAAATTTTAAAAAGACCTGTTTTGTCGCTTCTGCTCACGATCATCTTCGCTGGGTGGTATGCTCTATGTAATCATCGTGTAGATGTAGTAAAGAAGATAGTTTTAAGGCACTTTAAATGATTTGTGTCATACTACTACAAAGCAACGCAAAGTGATGTTATGTTATGGTTCTTTAATAAACCAGCTTTTGTACTTTTTATTAAAATTTGCTCGTGAGTTTTTTTTAGGGTAAAGTAAATAAATAAATATCCCATTATGTTACAATATGAATGTTGGCCTATTAACTTTTCCACTTATCACAGAGTTGTATCCTAACTTACCCTTATCCTTATACTGATTTTTCTGAGCTTGAAGCAGGAAACCGCAGTAGCGTTTCGCTATTTATATCAATACTCAAAAAAAACTCCATCATACCTATATTTAATAGGGTATAAGTTGTGCTCAGGGCTTTTTAGCGGTACGACGGAAATTTTTTTTTTTAAAACTTTAGTAATAAATTCATCTTAGCTGAAAGGGTTCGAACTAGAGCAATTACACTCAAAAAAGTGGAAACCCTCTCCTAAGAAACTAAAAGCTTGTAAAGTAATGTAACGAGGCTAAACAAGATATTTGAATGGTTTTCTCTAGATAACAAAATTGGTTGACGCAAATATATAACTTTGTAAAAAAAAGGCTTTGGCATACCTGTAATGTGGTTTTATACAGGTTTTTTAAACTTCAGCTTGCTAAAATTGCCTAAAGTTGTCGCTAGCTTGAAAATTAAGTACCTACAAATAACATTATTAAAAATTTTCTACAATTGTCTTATAAAACTTAACACCGAAATCATATCTTGGTAGCATGACATAAGGCATAAGAATATAACGTAAGGTCTTAAGTCATAGAGCGTTAGAGCAATGATATAGTTATAACTTTTAATATTGTTTTCAGTAATAATGTAAACGCTTTTCTCGTCGATAATCATTAAATTTCCTTTTGTATCTTATAAAAATATTTGGCTTCCATATGTTTTTAAGTTGCATGAACTATGACCTAGGCACAAGAGAAATTAATTTTTTTTTTTCTAGCTTTCCTCAAAGCATGGTAAGAGCTAACCAAGAAGCAATGTTTTGAAGGGTTTCTATGCATTTACGGATACAGTTTTCCGTTCTTTGTGCTTTTAAAACTTGCATTCAAGAAAATTGTTTTTGTAAAGCAGTTATAATTGTAAGTCATGGAGATTTAATTCTTTAGTTAACGCCAGTAAACTTGGGTATTGTTATTCTTATAAATTATGACTATTTCCTACAATTTTAGCATTTATATAGATAACCTCACAGTTCTTTATATTATATATTTTTTTTATCGACGAAGCAGTATTTGTCAGGGGATTACAATTAATTTCTCTATTTTTCTAGGATTCTTGTGCTATGATAATACTTTAATAAATTTTTTTTCTAAACAAAAACTTTTATAACAAATATTTAAAAGTTTTTAATAACTAATCAGGTGCATGCAGAATCTCTCTCTTTACGAACACTATAGTTTTTTATTATCATTTAAGAAAAGAAAAGATTTTCAAAAGAATTTAAATTTTTAATTTATAGTCATGCGGAGTATTAAGAGTTAAGTCTCCATATAGTTGTTACCCCTATACCATCCAATACGTTTCATATTCGCTGTCTTTTTTAATTCTGTCTAGTGTTCGCCTAGAGTACATGAAAAGTAATCATCTACTGTTTAACTAAAATTTTATTTTTATGTATTAATAGTTTATGACTATGATATCGAGTCTAGGCAGTGTCTAATGTAAAACCTCCAATGACAGGCGTGGATCTACTGTATAATAGCTTTAATCTAATTCCTTTGTTTAATCGTTTGGATTTATTTTATTTCTTTATTAAAGGCGTACTAGTGCTCGATCGACTTTACCAACTTCGAATTCACTGGTTTTTAGTAGCCCACGAGTTGCAAGTAAACTTATTAGTCTAACATGTGTCCTTCACGTCAATTTAGACCCCAATTTAGCTTTCAACCCTCATGGGTGACTAGAGTGTCTTGCGTGGACGGCGATTTTGCGCGCCATCCCACAGTTCCTAGGTGAGTTCTTCCGCTAGTAGGCGATAAGCGTGCCCAGCTATCCGTTCGTAGAGCGCGACGGTGCCATTTTCAAAGTGTGGTCAGCTGCTCAATAGTAGTTCGTGGCGAAGTGTTTCATTGCCCACAAACCACGCGCATTTGTTAAAAGGCGCACCAGTTTGTTTTGTCGAAGTTGAAGCGATGACGTTATTGCCGATAATTAGTAGGCCCAGGCAGGAGATGAATTTGCTACACTCTGCCGGATGCCCATACGCTTATTTTCGAAACGAAAAAAGTTTACTTTTGCTGCATAATAAAGGATATAGCATCTGGGCCGCTGCTTTAACCTTCGCCGCCACGTAATTTACGTTGGAAGCCACCACAACTTAGAATCTATGACCCCCAGGCATTTACCTGAGAACATCACGGAATTTCCATGCCGTTAAAAGTTAAAGGAGTCGGCAGCGAATGGCATTTCTTTGTTATACGAAGCGCCTTGCTCTTTGTTACTTTAACGGAGAGGATTCACTGACAACACCAGCTAGCAAGCGCTTCGAGATAAAATTGTAAGTACTGACATAGTAAAAATGGGTGTCTTGAACGAAGAATAAATCGTATTATCGGGCGTAATGAAGACCCGCGTGTGCGGGTTGGACCGGAAGAGGAATGTCTCTCTTAGAGAGCGCGAATAGCAGCGGGGATAGAGGAGTGCCTTGTGGAGCTCCCGCTGTAGGATAGCGAGGCGACGAGGGTGCAGCGCCTACTCGCACGTTAGAGACCCAGCCGGTTAGGTAAGACTTAAGAACTTCTTGAAGGCGGCCTGGTACCGCCGAAGCATGTAGTTGGCATAACAGGCCACCATGTCAAACTTTGTCAAAACCTTTCCAACACCGAGAAAGACAGCGCTGGTGACTTATGAAATTAGAGGCTCTGATCGCCACTCGGTTAGGCGAAGGATTCGTTGGGTCGTTGAGTGTCTTTTGCGAAATTCAAACTGAAACTCTAGTAAAAAAAAAAATTTTACATGAACGTCCACAACCGCCTTCAAACAATTAAGTATCTATGCTTTAGCTATCTTACCAACTGTCGACAAAGGGACTGAAGGGTAGATAGTTGAAAGACTCAGACGCCAGTTGCGACGTCCTTGGTAACATCACGACTACCGCCATTTTTCAACGCCCGGGGAAATAGCCAAAGGTCAACACCGAGTTGAGGAGGCCGCATAGATGATTCATAGCAGCCTATGACAACTGTTTTTCTAACACCAGGTTAGCGACGCCGTTAGGGCTGGGCGCCTTTCTGCTTCGGGTAGTAATTGGATAATTGATTTGATCCCTTCTGTGGTAGATAGCTCAAGAAAAACAATGGTATCAGAAGAGATAAACGGCATAAGGGAAGCATCGTCGACGGTTGAAGGACTAGACGGCGAACAGTGGGCAGCTAGATGATCAGCAAAAAATTTCGCTTTATCTTCGCGCTTTCGGCTACGGTATTGCTGGTGCGAAGTAGTGGCCGAGTCGAATGCCTGCAATTTCTAACTCGCTTGACAAAATTACGAAAGAGGCGCGACCGATGTCACCAGCTTCCGAAACTTCGTTTAATTTGTTATCCCATTGGCAGTTTATATGCGCCATCAGCTTTTACCTGATGTGCCGATGAAGGTGGTCTAGCGCTACTTTGTCTTCTGTACATCGCGAATACTGTTCAAAAGGAAGAAAAAAGCAGCAAAGAAGAGACAATCCCTACTCTTTATTTTCTCATCGCGAGTTCAAATTCGACAACAGCACTTTTTAGTTTATCTTAAGTTACGAGTGGGTCGTAAACGATGGGAGCGCCTTCTCAAGCAATTCTGTAAATTTGTTTCAATTCGTGCATGATCGGAAGAATGTTCTTATTGCTTCCTTTTTGTCGCCCTATTCGAGTAGGAGAGGCAAATGATCCGAGGGTAATTCATTCAGCCCTCAATAGCCTTTGGAAGGGGTATATTTTTAACACGCCGATACCCCACAAGACTATTCCTCGCCATGTGTGTTGGCAACTGTGGTTCTAGAACTCTCAACCCGCATTCTTCAGCGTATGCCTCAAGGGATGTAGTTGTTGCATTACAACCCGGCCGTTCCAAGCGGGATGTTTACAGTTAAAATTCCCACATAGAATGGCGTAAAGTCATGCACTAGAAGAGAGTCAAGATAGAACAAAACGAGTAGCTGACTGGACGGTTTATGGATTGACATTACAGCAATGGGCCCCGGTCTAGTCAGGTTAAAGGTAATACCACTGCCTCGATCCCTTTCCAGTTTGAAAATATAACCATATATATGGTCCCAATCCTTCCTTCAAAGAGACTTAAAGATTCAACATGAATTTCGTTGAAGAAATTCATGAGATCCAGCTCAGGATTTTCGATTAGGAATGAGTTTTAATAATACTACAGTATTTATCTCTCAGCTCCTTCGGAAAACATTTAGTAGCGTGTATAATATTGCTTTTCATAATATGAAATTGTAGCTTTCTGAATGTTAATAGAACGATCCCTGAATGCTTCCAGGTATTTCTGTCTTGCCTCGTACTAGGTGGCTTCCTCTTTTTACCAATTGTCCCTTCACTGTCTCTCTAAGTTGAAAATTTTACTTAAAAAAAAAAAAGGATTGTTTAGGTAACATAATGTTAGGAATTGAGTTGTTTTCCTTGAAAAACAAAATCAGCTGTTGTCGAAAATATTTTATTAATAAGACCCGTACCTCTTGACCTCGTATCATGACGCCGTTGGATTGTAAAAGTTGAAATAGAAGGCACCAGTTTAATTTTTACAGAGGATAACAGGAGGGATTTTTTTCTTTACGAATTCGCAGGGGGGCGCCATAGTAGATGGTCATTCATTAGTAATAGAGCCGGTGCCAGAAGCGCTGCCCATCTCTATGCCAACGGTGTCGTGTAAAGCTCTTGAGGGCTCCTCTGAGTATCTAATGACTTTCAGTTGTGGTCACCCTGCTGGAGTTATATATTATATTTGCTATTACTGTTGTTGCTAACAGTTATATTATTATTAATGACGCTATTATGGGGCTAATAGAAATAGAGATTACTGCTACTACTATTATTATCCTCACTGTGAATAGATGCGTTTTATGTAACCTTTACAGTCTCCCTATCTACTAGTACCACTTCGGAAGCAACTGGTTGATCTAGAATTTGTAAGGTCAAAAAAATACATTATTGTTAGTTATATTATCAAAGGGCTCTTTTTACCTTTTAAACTTATTTTAGCCCTGTTGATTTTCGTTACTTCAAGAAGTTGTAAATTCATAGAATCTAACTCTTCTCTGTGTTCTTTTTTTTGCAATGAAGGCTCGAAGCTCTTCTTCAGAGGAAAAAGTAATAAATCAGTATAAAGATAAATGTATATTATTAAAAAGAAATAGAAATTGAAAGGAATATTTATATATATAAAAATATAATAAAATTAAAATTATAATATATATACAGGTCTGCATATAAGGTCAGTAGTTACAATTTAAGTAGTTTAAGTTTTCTAATGTATATAAGTATATTTTAAATAAATCACTATGTAAATAAGTTAAATATTTACCGCAACTTCTAAGAAGTTGAGTGCACAGGCCACATTTACTTAGATACTTGAAATAAAAAAGCGGTTAAAACGTGAATTTCAATTTCACAAGTCGTAATGGCTGTGAGGTGTCGAAAATTAACCGCAACTCTAGAAGAGGGGGCCCACCGTTCCATAGAATTTAGAAAAAAATTATATAAAAGGATGAACAAATATAAATATATATAAAAGTTTAAATAAAACTACAGTAAAGAAATAAAATTAAAAAAAAAAATACAGAGACGAAGAGATATTACTAGATTAACCGATGGGGTACTTGTTTTATTCTTTAAAAAAGTTTTATAGTCAAAGTAATCTATAACATCTAGATTGGCCCATAAATCATTTTTGATGGGGTATTAAATAGATTTTTTTTTAGTAAAATGCTCTAAATTTCATTAATTTAAAAATCTTGTTACAGCTGAGTGCGGTTAATCCGTTATAAGGCTACACGTTCGACATGTGATACATTATGGCCTCGGCGCCCTCAAATCCCAGTAGTAACAACGCCAAGTTGGGTGAGATCTTAAAACCTTTTAGGCACCGTTCTTGTAGAGTTTGATGTTGCTTATTTTCGAGCTTTGAGGTCTCTTTCGAATGGCCACACAGTCGCAGAGCAGTGAAGATGAATATTGCTAAATTGACTGCACCGGCGCATTAGAGAAAAACTACTGGCGCCGCTGGAAAACCCATCGGGGTTAGGGTCTTGCAAATGAGAAAAAAAACATAAAAATAAATAATATTCGCAATAAAGATGTACAAAAGGTATATAGTTACTTCCAATATTGATATTAAAGAAGGATACGTATCATTTATAGAGTATACAGCGCTATAAAACCATTTTTAACAATAAATAATAGTATCATAGCTTAAAAATTCGGTGTTTAGCCACCCGATCGAGCGACAGGAACTACCAATTAAAAAAGATTTGACAATGTGATATATGATTTTTAATGCAATATTAATGTGGGGAAGCCAAGAATTTGTATTATTTTATTAAAAAGTTTATACTTTTTCAAATTAAGTTATTCTATATTTTTACTATTAATGATAAAATAACACTTTCAGTTGGTATAAGTAATTATTTGAAATTTAAATTTTTTTTGTGCTATTTCTTTATTTTTAAGAGAATATAAATATCTTACGCATATTAGGCCATATTATATTAAATAAAATGGTGAAAGGATTAAGCTTTGAAGAAAAAAGAAAAAGGCTTCTGGATTGTTTCCATAATTCGGTAGATCCAAATTTTCTCTCGTACTTGTATAACATTCATATTTATTAATTCAAAAACAACTTGTTCAGCAAATAAATTTTTTATTCTATCAAAGAATAAAATTTTTAATTTAATTTTGTTTTATCCATAACAAGTATAATTATTTTAACTTTATTGTAATCTTTGCTAGCTATTTTAAGATATTTTTATTATTATTATTTAAGTAATATTTATAAAGTAAGATTTATGCTCATTTAAAACTTCTAAAAGTTTTTTTTTCTCCTCCATTATTTTAACTTAAGTAAAGAAGTTTCTTAAAAGTTTGTTTTATATTATTGTAATGAATATAAATATTACGACATTTAAAAAGAAATTTTACCTTTTATTTTGAAAAAGGACTATTAATATTTTTTCCAAGTTTTCTTTTAGTCTTATATATTATAATATGTTGCCTCAGAAATCCGTTTTTAATATAAAGGAAGTCGAGAAAATGGGCAGCCAAAAAGGAATAGGTTTTAATTAACTTTTGTTTTTTCAACATAACAATTAAAACAAAATTTTAAAATTTGAGATTTTATTTTGCGAGTAAATTTACTTTATTACTGTTAAGGTATTAAATACTATTATATGATGACAATAAATTATATAGGAATTTTAATAGATAAATTGATTGAAAATTAATTTTATTTTAATGCCGTTGAAGTCATCAATACCGTCAAAGATGTTCTTCAATCGCTTTTGGATGACGATTTAGTCGAAACTGAAAGAGTTGGAACTTCTAATTATTATTGGTCATTTCCTGGAAAAGTTTTTAAAAAAGTAAAAGAAAAGTTGAAAAAGATTATTTTTTCTGTTGTAAAATTTGATAAAGAAAAAGGAATAATTTAACTCGAACTGTAAATATTTTTTTAATATATATACTTATAAAAGTTTAAGCGTAAAATATTAAACTGTTTTTTTTTAATTAATATTTTTTTTTCAAAGATTTAAATTTTATTGAATTGTAATGAAATAATCTTTTAAAATTAATTTTATTACAGAAAAAATATTATAAGAATAAAAGTTTAATATTTTCAATATATATAAATTTGTTGTTATAGTAAATATATTAAAGTATTCAAGTTGGAAATTTTTCAATTTTAGATAAAAAGGCTTGCAATTTAAAATTTCGAAAATAAAAGTGGAAAAAATAATATATTTATATGTTTGTGTATTATTTGTAAAATAGAAAAAAGTTATAAAGTTATTTTAAAAATAAACAAATTTAATTTTTACTTTATAAAATCATTATATTCTTAAAAAATATTATAAAAAATTAATTTTGTTATTTATAAAATTAAGGTTTGAAAAACTTTTTTTTACTAAAAATTTAATAATTTATTATCAAAATTTTATAAGTATTCAACTTTTTTATGTGTATACTACTAAAAAAGAAAATAGAAAAAGGTTTATTATAGAGTTAAATAAAAACTTGGAACTTGATTTAATTTAGCTATAATTAATAATTTTAAAAATGTATAATTGCATTTACAATAAATTGATTTTGAAATTATTATATTATTTTAAATTTTTCCATAATTTCTTAAATTTGTAAAAATTATTATTAGAATTATTTTTTATGTAAATTTATTTTTTGAATTCATTAAAAAAAACCTTTTGACTTTCACAAAATTTGGCTAACTTTTATTTTTTCAAAGATTTATAAAATTTCTTTTTTTTTGTTACAAAGTATATTATAAAAAAGTAAATTTAGACAATAAACCTAAAAAGCTTGATGCCTTAAAATTTCATTTTTTAATTTCCTCATCTTAATTATAAGAATTAGCTTTTAAAATTTAAATTATTAATTTATTAAATAATCTAGTAGAAACAATTTGCATATGGTAGAATGAAAAATAATAGTTAGCAATTTTTAATATTTATATATAATGACTTTTTTAATTAAATTTTTTATTTTATATTATTTGTTATAACGCCTCTAAAAGTTTGCGAAGTGTATATTTTTATATAATATTTAAAAATTAAAATGTTTATTAATTTTTTATTAAAAATTTATTATAATATTTTTTTCCTTTTAATTTTTTTTAGAAAAATTTAAAATTTTTTTTTAAAATAATTAATTTTAAATCAGAAATTTTTTAAGTATATTTGTAAAAAAATTTTTAATGCTTTTATATATAATGAGATTTAAGTAAAACTTATTATTTAAATTTCTCTATGGAGATTATTTTTATTTACGAAATTAATTTTTAATTTAATAATTTATTTTTAAGTTAAAATAAAAAAACCAATTAACAATTCAATTAAGTTAATTTTTTTTATGAGGATTTTTTAGTATATTTTTTAAGTATACTAATTTTACTTTTTTAAAGTTTCTTATAAACTTTTTAAAAATAAAATTATTTTTACAAACTTTATTTGAAATTTGTAAGATTTTTTTAATTTTTTAAAATTAATATTCTTAATAAGATAAATTATTATGGTTAATAAATATATATATAACCTTTAAACTTAAAAGAAGTAATTTTAAATTTTGATCTTAAATTTTAAATCTTTAAATTTCCTACAAAAATATTTTTTAGTCGAAATAGTAGCAATAATGGAAATATTTTAAAAAACTTCTAATAAAAAAAAGTAAAACTTTCAATTATCATTTACAAATTCTAATTATTAACTATAATTTTTTTTTATTTTTAAAATGATTATTTAAATTATATAATTATTTTAATCAATAGGATATTTGAAAACTTTAAATACTACAAAAAGTGAAATAAAAATTTTTTCTAGAAAATTATTATTATAATATTATTTTTAATAATATATTTTTAGGAAGTCTATAAATAGTAGAAAGTAAAAAATCTATTATATTAAATATAATTATAAACTATAATTTTTTTGTTTTGGTAATTATAATTAAAAGTTTATAAAAACTTTAAATACAGCAAAAAGTATAAATTTATTAAAGATTTAAATTTTAATGAAATTAAAATAATTTTTTTAATAATAAATATATTATTAAAAATGTTTAGAAACAATTTTAAGAAAATTTTTATTATATTTATTGAGTTTGTATGTAATTTATAGTTATTATTTTTTTATAAATTTTTTTAATTATTATAATAATTAAATAATTTCATTTAAAAAGTTTTAGAAATATATGAACGGAATTATAAAGAAAAATTTATTATATTTATTATAAATATTAATCGGAAACTATAATTTTTTAAATTATTAATTTTATTTTTTTATATAATAATTGATAGTTTTTCTATAAAAAGTTTAAATACAATGAAGTAAAAATTATTATATTTGATATCAATTTTAAAATTTCTATAATTTTTTTTTCTATTTTTAATAATTATTATATTATATTTATATACAATTTAATAATAGATCTATTTTATTTATTATGTTAAATTTTAAATTATAGTTTTTTTAAATATTATAAATTTTTATTTGTTTTATAATAATAATTTGTTATTTTAAAATATATAAAATCAAATTTGAAGAAAAAATTTATTATAATTTTTATAAATTTTACTTTTTTAAAAATTATATATTTTTAAATTTTTTGTAAACATTGATACTTTTTTTTATTATAATAATTATAATATTTTTTTGTTATATAAATTTACATATAATAAAGTAAAAATATATTTTATTTAATATAAATTTTAACAATTCTATAAATTTCTTTTATTTTATTTTTCATAATTATCTTATATTTATGCACAATGTTAATAAAAAAAAAATTTAATTTGTTATTTTATAAATTTAAAATTATTGTAATTTTTAATTTTAATAAAATTTTAATTTATTAGTACAATAATTAATTGTTTTTATTAAAAAATTTTACATATTAATATATAAAGAAACAATTCAAGAAAAAATATATTTTTCTAAATTTATATTATAATTATATTTTACTTTATTATAAATTTTTATTTTTTTTATTATAATAATTTATAGTTTTTATTTAAAAAGTTTATATTCAATAAAGAACAAATGTATTCTGTAGATTATACTTTCAACAATTCCTAAATTTCTTTTTTTTGTGAATTTTTTTCTATTTTCATTAATATTCATATTAAAAAATATTTATATATGAAATATTAAAAAAAAATATATTTTATACATTAATACTTTTTTATTATAATAATTATAATATTTTTTTATATAGTATTACATGCAATGAAGGAAAAATTTATTCTCTACTATAATTTTCTTTTCACTATTTTACATAATTATTATATTATATTTATATACAATTTAATAAAAAATGTTATTTATTTATAATAAATTTAAATTTTAAATAATAACATTTTAATATTCATAAAACTTATTTTTTTATTATAATAATTTATTGTTTTTTTTAAAAGTTTGTAAACAATAAAGTAAAAATTTAATATATTAAATATAAATTTTAACAATTCTTTAAAACTCTTAATTTTTATATTATTATCATTAAAAATATTTATATACACCTAAAAAAAGTTTATTATATCTATATATATATATATATATATATATATTAAAATTTTAAAAAAAACTTATTTTTTTTGTTGCAATAATAAAATTATTATCATTAACAAAACTGAATATAATAAAGTAAAGACTTATTATATTTTATATGAATTTTATTTAATAAATTACAATTTATTATATACTTATAATATTTTTTTATTATAATAATTATATTTACATATACAAGTCTACATACAAGAAAAAAGTTTTTATTTAATATAAATTTTTATATTAAATATATAATTTTATTATTATTTCTTGGATTTAATTTTTATTTTAATAATTGTTATTTTATTATCATTAAAAATATTTCTATATAAATTTAATAAAAATTTATTATATTTATTATAAATTAATATAATTTCAGTTTATTTTTTTTTAATTTTAAAATAATAATACTTTATATACAAATTTATATCATAAAGCTAAAATTTATTATAGTTAACAAGATATGAATTAAAAATTATATTAATTTTTTGTATTTATTATTTTTATTATATATAATAATTATTTTGTTATCATTAAAAGTAATTATATACAATACTAATAAAAAGTTATTTATTTATTATAAATTCTAATTAAAAATTGTATTACTATTTATATCTTTTTTATTTGGGTAATTATAAATTTTAATAATATATATATATTTACTATAAAGTTAATTTTTTGTTATTCAATATAAATTTTAATAAAAAGTTATTTTCTCTTTTTATATATTTAAATTTATTATAAAATTAAATAAATATAATATATTATTATTAAAAATATATACAAATTACAGTAAAAGTTTATTAGTTTTTAATAATAAATTATGATATTTTCAAATTTTTGCTAAAAAAAACTAATAATATTATTATTTTTTAGAATTATATTATTATCTAAAAAAGTTTATATATAATAAAAGTAAACTTTATTATAATTTTTTTTTATTTCATAAAAACTCATTTATACAATAGAAAGTGGATATGTTAAAGGAATACGAAAAGAAAAATTTAGAGACGAAAATAAAAATTGAAGCATTTTCTAAAAATATTATGGAATTAAAAAAAAGAAAAGACGACTCGGTAAAACTTCTTATTAATTAAAAATTATAAAGTTTAAAATTTTATTATTTTTTTATTTGTTAATATTTATTTGTAGAATTTTTTATTTTATTTATTCTATTTAAAAAATTTTGTGTATACTTTCATTTTAATATTTTTTATTTATTAAATATTTTACGTATAATTATTTATGTTATTCTTTTTATTTATAAATATTTTTTGTATAAATTTTTTGTTATTATTTTTTTGTAAACATTTCATTATTACTTTAAATAAAAACGAACTATTAATAGAAAAAGTTAAAGTTAAATATTTATTTGTAAATATTTTTTATTTTATATTTATAATAAAACAAATAATTATAATAATGTGTTAAAGTTTTAATAATATTTTATACGGAATTTTTTTTGTCAATAAAAAGTTAATACATATTTTGTTTGTGTATTTATTATATTATTATAATTATATTTTTTTTACAGAAAAACACAATAATAATAAAAATTTTATGGTTTATTTATTTTTTTATTTAAATTTATATTTTTTAATATTATTAAAAATTATTAATATAATGAAAAGAATTTAGTTTTATAGTAAAATTTATTTAATTAGAAAAAGTTTACTAATATTATATATGTAAATTTTTTATTTTATTTTATTTCTTACTTTTATTAGTAAAGATATTTTCATATAAAGAAAATTTAAATTTTTAATTTTTCATATATTAATTTTATTTCATCGTAAAAAAATTTCAGGTAGAAAAAAAGTTATAAAGTTTAATAATTTTTTTATAAATACTTAATATTTTTTTGTATATTATTATTTATTATTTAATTTTAATTGTAACAACAAATTCTTGTTATGATAATTTTTTATGTTATTAATATTTTTTATATAAATTATATATTTATATTTATTTTTATATAAATATTATAAAAAGTTATTACGTTTATTATTATTTTATTATTATAATAATATTAACCCTTAATAATATATAATTTTTAAAGTTTTAAATATTCTATATGCAATTGTTTTATGTATTTATTATTTTTAATAAAAATTTTATATATATTATATTAATATTTATAATTATATTATAATAAAATTCTCTTTTTATATGAAAAAGTTCAAATTTTTCTATTATTATTATCATCATTTTATAAAAAAAAGGCATTTATATTAAAAAGGTTAATATTATATTTACTTTTATTTTTTTTTTAATTTTATTAGAATAAAAGCAATTTTTTATTTAAAAAAGTTACAATCTTTAAGTATGTTTACTTTTATATTTTTTATATAAATAAAGTTTGAAATTTTAAATATATTTACTTTTATACTATTATCTTAAATTTATAATAATAAAAATATTGTTTTTATATAAAAAGTTCAATATTTAACTTTATATTCAGAAAACTTTAATTTTTTTATATACAAACCTTTAAAATTTTCCTTTTTTATATTTTTATATCAAATTTTATATATAAAATATTTAAAACTTATAATTAATATTATGTAAAAGATTTTATATCATTAAAACTAAAAAACCTTAAACTTTTTATTTATAATTTTAATAATTATTGTAATAAATATAATTATATAATGTATATATATTTTTTCTTTTATTCTTTTATTATTATATAAAAAAAGATATGAAGAGTTTGTTATATATATTTTCTTCTTACTTTTATTAATATTTATATTTAAAAAAATTTATTTTTTAAATTTATAATAATATTTATATTTTTTTTGATTAAATTTTTTAGGAGGCCAGAATTGTATTGGAAGAAAAAATAAAAAATCTCGAAACAAAAATTTCAGAGTTGAAAAAAGAATACGAAATTTATCGTATGAACGATCCAGAAACTCTTCAGGAAAAAGGTTAATAATAATAAGAAGAAAATTAGTAAAAAGAATAATAATAATATTATTATTACTACTATTATAAAAAAATTTATTTTTTTTTATTTTTTTTAAACTTTTTTTTTACTTAATAATATGTTATTAAAAAGAATACTTCAAACTATAGAATAAAATATTTTATATAAATTTATAAAAATATATAAAATAAAACTTGTTTATGTATTACGATTCATAATAATAATAATAATAAAATATTTGCAATATATAAATTTATAAATATAAATTTATAAAACTAAACTTTTTCTTGTTTAAAAATTACATTTTTATTTTTTTTATATAAATTTTATATGTAAAGATAATATATTATATAAGTACTTTAAATATATAAATATAAATTTTTTAAATATAAAATATATGAAACTTAACTTAACCTTTTTTGTGGTAAACAAATTAATATTTTATTATTATTAATAATAAACTTTTTATATTTATGATATAATAATACTTTATAATACAAAACTTTTATATTACAAATATATCAAACTAAAAGTTTTTATTCATTTTCTTATTTTATATTTATTTACTATTATACTTAATTAAGAAAATTTTGTTTACTTTCTATTATTTGTCATACTTTTTTACTATAAAAGTTTTATTAAATATTTAACTTTAATAATAAGTTTATTACTATTATATTTTTTTATATTTATTAAATAAACTTTATTATTGTTATTAGATTTAATTATTATTTATATAATATACTGTTATAACCTTTATTACTATAAGCTTCCTAAGTGAAAAAAATATTATTATGATTATTATCATGTTTAATGAAAGCTCTTTACTCTTCTGTTATTATTTCTACTATAATACTATTAAAACATTTTATAATATAATTTTTTTTTTTGAATAGCTTTTTTATACTACTTTTAGTAATAATAATATTATTAGTTAATAATTTATTATTGTTATTATTATACTTGCAAACATAAAAGTTTATATTTTAATTATTATTAATAATATTATTATATTAATATTATTTATATAAATTTTTTTTAATATCTTTAAGTTATTTATTATTATTACAAAATATTTTATAAAAAACTTATTTATATAATATTTTTTGAATGTTATTATTATTCTTTTAAAGATCTATTATTTTTATTTTACTTTAAAACGAAAAAGTTTGTAGTTTTCAATTATTGTTATTATTTATATTAAGAAAGGTTGTATTTATAATCTTAATTACTATTATAATTATTATTACAATATATTTTTAAAAATAGTTATTTTTATATTATATTTTTAGTTATTATTATTCTTTAAAGAATCTATTATTATTATTCTTATGCTTGTAAAATAAGAAGTTTATACTTCTCAATAAATATTATTAAAAAAAATTTACTAAAATTTCTTTTTTATAATATTTTTTAGTTATTAGTGTTCGTGTTTATAATTTATTTCTCTTAATATTATACTTCTGTGCTTTTCTTTAATAATTATTATTATAACTTCAGAAAGACTTTATTTAGTAAATATTACTGATAAATTTGCTTTTATATTAAAGTTTTATTAAATATTTTATAATAATTTTTAATAATAAATTATTATATAAGTGAATAATAATAAATCTGCTTATATATTAAAGATTATTATAATATTTCTAGTATTTATTTTCTATTAATAATAATTCTGCTATTATATTAAAGTTTTATTATAAGTTCCTAATAAAATTTTCAATATATAATTATTTATATTTATTATTATTAATTATTAATCGGTTCTTAATAAAGTTTCATTAAAGATTTTTTTAATAATAAATTGTAAAACTTTAAATTATATTAATTAAAAGATTATTTATTTCATTTCTTATAAGTATTATCATTTCTGCTTTATTATTCAAACTTTTATATTTATTAAAAGTTTATAATAAAATTTTTAGTTATTTCTATTATTATTCATAATTCTGTTTATTATTCAGTTTTTGATTTACACTAATCAGCGTTCGGAATTTACTTCTTACTTTATAGCAATTCGCTAATAAAATTGAGAAAATTTTATTCGTCTTTTTATTGGTTCATTAGGTCGCCAGGCGAAAGTAGCTCAAGACGCAGCCAATAGATGGACAGGTTTATATATTTTTGTTTTTTTACTTTTACAAAAGTTTTTATACTTTTATATAATGTTTACGTCATTATCCTATTCTTTTATATATAATTCATACACTTTTTTCTTTAGATAATATTTTTTGCTTAAGAAAATGGGCCAAAGAGAAATTTAATGTGGAAGAGCAAAGCATTAATACTCATTTTAATATTCCCGCTGATTTGGATTATATTGAATAAAGACATACAAAACTTCTCTTATTTAAATTTTTTATATATAGGATATACAAAAATTGAGGAAAAAAAAATTAAAATTTGATAACGATCTAGTAAAATTATATAAATTTTAAAAAACGACAAAAAAAATTATTACTATCTCTAAGTAGTTTCTGGTGTAAAACTTTTTTGTCAAAATTCTCTTATTTAAAATATCTAATAATAATAAATGATCTGAACCTTTTTAAAATTTTCAAAAAGTTTTGAGAAGAAATAAAGAAAATTTAAAGATTATAACTTATTTTAAGTAATTCCTGGTGTAAAACTTTTGCAGTGCGTAATTTCATTAACTACTAGAGCACTTATAAAGCAAACTTAACGCGCTAGAGCAGGAAAAGCCTTGCCCATTATATATTTTTACTTTCTTTTAAAATTTATTGAAAGTTTATTATAACTTGTTTTGAATAATAGTGAAAAAATAAAGAAATGTAAAGAAGTAATAACATAATAAAAAAGTACACAATTAATTATCTATAACCCTTTTAACTACGCTTTACTAATTCCGAAAAAAGAGTAATATTTTGAAAACTTATCGGAAGCAATTATCATATTTCTTAAAAAAATTAAGGTCTTCTTAAGCTACTTTAAAGGGGGACCTGCGCTATATTTATAAGTGAATTAAGTTACTGAATTATTAATATTTTTACTTTGTGTAATGCTAATTTCTGTTTCTGAGGCTGCTTTTTGATTAAGAACTTTAAAAATAATTAAAAATTTATGTGTAAGGGAATATTACTTTTAGTTTCGTCTGCAGGCCTTTAAGATACTTTATTTAAAGAATAAATATACCAATATAAAATGGACGTGAAATGTTTGTGTATCAAATAAATAAACAACTTTTAATATATATAAATGTTTGGAACTCGCAAGAAATTTTTTATTTAACGTGAAAAATCTATAGTTCTTAAGACTAATCATTCACAAAAAATAGATGTATTATATGTAAGACTTTCTCGGGTAAGTTTTTACATTTCCATTATTAACTCTTAAAATATACTAAAATTAAAATAAATTACTTTTCATTTTTATTATAACCTGACATTAATTTTATTGAATTCAAAAAAAAATTTTTTTTTAAAGACACTACAAGTAAATAAATATACTTACATTTAAATATTAAAAAAAAAAAGAAAGATATCCATTTAGTTTAAAATTTAATTATTTTAATTTATTCAGCATCTTGCTTTATCAAAAGTTTCCAAGTTCTCTAATTTTTCCTCAAAGGTACACTGGCTATAAAAAAGATTAAAGTCGCTGAAATTTCGGCCGCTTCTCAAGATGGAGCAACAGTTTAACTTTTCGGTAGAACAAAGCGTACTAAAACGTTAATAATTTAGAAGAATTTTTTTAACCATCTTTAATAAAACTTAAAAAAACCTAATTTTTTTTTGTTATATTAAAATTATATAAATTATAAACTTAATTGTAATCATAGTCATAGATTAAAAGTATAGCTTACAAAGTAATTAGTTTTTCCAGGCCTAAATATGAATTTTTTTCAATAAAAGTAATAGGATTTTTATCTAAATATCTTTTTTTAAAAAAATTCAAAGAAGAGATAATTGAGAGTATAAAATGTTTTTATACAATTCACGCAAGTTCGTAAGAGCCGTAAAAATACTTGAGTTTATTGATTTCAGTTCATTATTGGATAAACACCTTATATGTATATATATAGATAATTACATTTAAAGAATTTAGCTTTGAAACCTAAAAGAGAAAAATAAAATTCTTTAATTATACCTATTACGAAATTTATAAAGTTTTTCTTACAATATTTTTAGGTTGGTAAGGGAACTAAAAGCATTTGAAGCTATCGAACTTAAAAGATTGAGAGAGAGATTTCTATAAATGAGAATAAAATATACATAATTATTTTGCTACTCTCTTAAAAAACTAGTCTTTGTTCTACATTCATGAAGTAAAGCAGTTTAAATTATCTAAATTACAATATTTCTAAGTTAGAAATTTCGCTAAACGTCTTTTCTTCGATTGTTTTTATAAAATTCACTGATAAGTTCCTTAAATTTTATATAAAAATAAAATTTATTGCAATTAAATTGAAGCGCAAATTTGAATTTGTTAAAATAGGGGACGTAAAGAAATTCTTTTTGCTAATTTTTTTTTTAATATAAGGGTAAATACTATAAAGAAAAAAGAAGAAACTTAGTTATTAAAAAAATTTATTTTTTGAAGGCAAGAAAGTAATAAATTTTATACAGAATAAGAAATATAAGAAAAAAAAGATTTTAGCGTATATATTATTTGTGCTGACCAGCAATTAATAACTTTTTCTAAAATTAGCAAGAAACCAGGATGTTTTTATTTTTTTTTTACAAAGCAGGGCTTTCGAAATTTATAAAAGTCAAATCTTGATGGATATTAGCCAATGTTATATAGTACTTGTTGCTCTATATCTATATAAAAATACTACGGTACTAGTACTATATAGAATAGTCCTATTACCTAGTTTATATATAGATATCTCGCGAGCAGCCCGTTTCTTTCATAATTCAATAATTGCACCCGTTAAAATTGTATAAGAAACGTAGAAAAAAAATTTTAAATTCAGAAATTCTATATCTTTAAGTGAACTTTTAAAAAAACCTCTTTTAAACGTTATCTATAACCAAGCAGTTTATAACTTCTGATATTTAAATATCAATAAAAGGGTTTGTATATCAAAGTATTACAGTTCTTTCAAGTTGAAAAGAGCACTGAAGAGAGTTGGATGAATTGAGCTTAACTTGTTGTTAGAAATTGACCTTTTTTAAAAATAATCGTTTTTTGCTTTATTGGAGTTAAAAAAAAATTTAGTTCTTAAATACAAAATTATACAATTTTTTATTTTTTTCTGGTTAATTTGTAGCCTTATAATTACTTTATATACTAACTCAAACTTTTTTTGATTTAATTTTTTTTACGGATTATATTATATTGCCTTACAAGTTCATCAAATTAGTTAGAGAGTAAAAGCTGTCAGGGCTGATGAAGCTCAGTTTATTGCCGGATAAGAACCTATAAGTTTTATACTTAATTAATAATAGTGTTTGTAATTTAGTAAAACTACAATACCGTCAACAAAAAAATTAATAAATTGTTTAAGATTTAGTACGAAATAATTTTTAATTTATCTAGCTTCTATAACTTAATATATTTACGTTATATGTATTGAAATTTTTCAATTTTAACGTCAGTTACATAAAATAAGCCTTATTCAATATTATGTATTTTTTCTTCTTCTCCTTTAAGTGCGTATTGTTTTGCAGTAGCATATTATAGATCTTTTTAAGTTATTATAAATTTGGCAAATAAAAAATTATTAGTCTAAATTATTAGCAACATTTTTGAAATTCGCTTTTAGTATTCCATTTGAAAATGTAATTAAACTAAAATAAAAATGGTACTAAAAATTTAATTATTTAGTTATGTTTTTGAGTAACTGATAAATTTACTTTTCATTATATTCATTACGTAAAGATCTGCTAAGAAATAAATATAAATACCGTTGATACAATACATCGAAAATATTTAGGTATATAAAAACTTACAAGGAATTTAAATTTTTTATTTGCTCAAAAGGTTTGCCGTGTATTCTTTTAATTTTATTATCATTAAGATTTCTAGATATTTAGAATTTTGTAGCTATATAAATTTTATAAAAAAAAGCCTATATGTCATACAACTCCGTTAAAGATGTGAGAGACGAAAAAACAAAAGGAGTCAATGAGAAAATTGCATTATTTGCAAGACCCCTTAAAAAAGTAAAGGCGCATCGTAAAAAGTTTACTAATCATATATTTAAAAAAAATCAAATTACAAATAATTCAACTTTTCTAGACCTATAAAGCGCAGGCGGTTTGGAAAATAGATTGTATTTTTCTTTAGCTCCCTTATTATAGAAAGATAAAGAATTCTTATAATTCTAGAGTTATGATATTTTTAAACCAACGTACTTACAAATATTTGAGATTGGGGAGTAAATTAAAAGTTAATATGCAGGAATCAGATAATAAATTTGAAGACAAGTCTCTAAAAAGTAGTTCAACGGCAAGGATTTTAAAATCTTTTATAATTAATATTTTTCGTATAACTTAAGAATTGTTTTTACTTATAAAAATTTTTATATCAATAAATATCAGTCGATATAGTTTAGTACAATATTTGCAAATGTTGAATATCACTAAAAGCGTCCTCGGCGATTGCTGTTATAGCATTTGCTGATAAGTTTCTAACGATAAATAAGAAATATAATCGTTACTTCAAATTCGCTTATCATAAAAGTTTAACTAAATTTAGCTAATCTAGTTTTATATGTCTTTAGCAGAGTAAGAAGTAAGTTGCAAGTGTTTAACAAAGAAATTTCCTAATTACTAATACTGTACTAAAAATCTTCCGTAGTTGAAAGGAAAAAAGTTTTTTACTTGTTTTTACTTATATAACTTTTTCTTTTCTTTGTAAGCAAAACAAAGAACCCAGAAATATTTACCATTGCAAGTCATTATAGAAATTTATTTGGAAAAATAGTTGGGAAGAGCTACAAACTAGTTAGCAATTAACGTGTGAGAAACTCCGAACTGGCCTGGGGATTGGCGTTGCCTAACCCTATATGGCGCGTTATTAGGTTAAGGCATGTTTATATAAACTTTCTGGTGAGTTAGTAACTTTTTTTTCACGTTAAAAAGTAAAATATAGATTCATGCACTATATATTTACTTAATATCACTACATAAAGAACTTACAGAAATTTTAATATACTGTACCCACTGAAAATTCTTGATGGAATAGAAGTTAAACCTTCATGCGTTGAAGTTCTACAATACGATGTAAATATGAAGCTATTATGTACAACATTAAAAAAATATATTGTAAATGAGAATGATTAAACTTAAGTAAAGATAAACGAAAAAATAAAGTTTTTTCATTTAATAATTTCTCACAAGCTAAAAAAAGTTTCTGCCTCA